TTACTCTATTTACTGCAGGCTCGGTTCTTATCGCAGAGGTTAAGCATCTGAGTGCAAATTTGATGTATATCTAGATCTAATTACTGGGAGTATTTTTAATCTGCTGACTTTTAAGAATTTTAATCAAAAGCTTCAATATATCAGATTCAAGAGCCATCTATAGATTTTTATCATTTACAATCAAGGCTTCAAGAGCTCCTAACACTACAATTGTTTTCTTCTCAGTCCCCATCCTCAAATCCTTATTTGTGAATTAAAACTCTAATTTTGAGAATTCCTTGTCTAATACATCAATCACAGTTAAAATTGAGTCATTTAGATGATTCGCCTAAATATAGCTATTTCTGAGTTAAGGGTCTGGCGAGGCATAAAGCTCTCTAAATACCAAGAAAAACTTCTAAATCTCATCATTAGAGATGAAATCTGCATTCCTCACAGCCCACTCTATTGTATCCATTTTATCTTCTATTGTCTTATATTCTGCTCTGACAATCCTAGCAAGGACATTCAGATGTTCTTCAATGAACTTCTAGACATATATTACAAAGTTATCAAAGTCAGATCTCAGTCTCTCAATACCACTGTTGTCAAAAGAACCTGATTTTTATGGAGGATCCCTGATGTCAAACTATTCTCTATTGCTTTTCTGCGAGAGTGGCAATCTCAGACTTGAATTTGGACTTTGAAGCTATTTGGATGTAGTTAGCTTTGAAAGGGCTACTTGCTGGTTGATATCAGAATATAATTTGGAAAGCTCATTTATTTTATTATTCCAATCTGCTTGCTAAATCTCAAGGTCGCTCATTCTAAGTCTGAATTCCTCCATCATTTTCAACGTTAATTAAGCATGAGAGTTCAGCTCATGCTCTACTCTTATCTTTTGCTCATTAAACTTAATCCTAATTATTTTATCCATTTCTTCAATAGTCTTCTATAGCTGACCAATAAATTATTTCTGCAAACCACTATTCGTTCCTTTAAGTTCATCGCCTAATACCAAACGTCATTTCTGATTATAATGATTTACTTTGATCCAAATTAACACTCGATAATAGATTGCCCATGTCCATCCATTAATCAAAATTTACACTTTTAAGTGAGGCATCAGTTGATAAGTTTGCTAATGGCATCTAATCTGCAAAAGATACTCTACTCATTTTCCTTTGCATATCAGCTATCTTAGTCTCAAGCAATACAACTCCTATTACTCTTTATTAAAGTCAACTAATCTTACTATTTACAAGAGATGCTGGTCTAGTTGCATCTACTAAGTTGTATTACTGAGTCAAAGCCTCTGTGTTACTCTTCATGATCTCATCTAGTATAGTTGTTTTAAGCTGAACTGAATCTCTTGATTGCACTATTTGTTTAATGAGGGTTTATTCTAGAGCCATTTCTCTTATCTTATTTTTTATGTCAACAAGAGAGCCTTATTCATCATTCTAGTTATCTTCCAATTTAGACTCGAGTCTGTCTACCTCATCTCTCATATTCTCAAATGCTTCCTTCGACTCCTTTGCTAGCAATTGAATGGACTATCGATCTATAAGTTTAATTTTAGACAAT